GATTCGCTATTGTTATCTAAAAATCCAAAGGCATCGGGAAACGGCGAAATGTTGCGATCGGAGGAAAAACGAAACGGTAACACTTTACGCAGCGGCTTTCGTGTGCGGACACAGAGCACGACGGATGTTAATAGCGGGAAGTGAGCGGTAACGCATAGTAAAGAAGACGAAAAAGTGCTTAAACAGGCGCCCATTGACATTTGCAACACCCGTAGGTTGCCACCTTTGAATAAAGTGGGTTACCTCCCTCACCAGACGGAACGCCGAACTATAACACTTCCACTTCACAACGGTCTTCTGTCTGGTACTTACCCGGACGGACCTGCCCATTCGTGCAACAGCGAAAAAAATATCTTTTTTTTTTTACTATTGACGTGATAAAATCAGTCAAATACTTTGAAATATCAATTTTTAATTTCTTGTATTTACGCGATTACACATTATAAATGAAACTAATTTTACGGATTTATCGCGTTTATTTTTAATTCCCGACGTTTCGAACCAGTCAGACTACTTGATAGATTAAATCAATAAAATTAAATCTAAGCCCAAACGAACCACTACTGCAAGACAAGATACAATTAGCTCCCTCTGCATAGATCGGACACAAAATTAATAATACAAAAACTGACGGTAGCCCGGGTTAACTATGACAATCAGACGTCTAATACCTCAGTCTGTCCCGTGACCATGAACGCTGTAAAGGGTTCGAAACGTCGGGAATTAAAATTAAAAATAAACACGATAAATCCGTAAAATTAGTTTCATTTATATCAATTTTTGCTGTTCTCGTATGTGAGAAAATGTTATCTTCCAAGAGTTAAAATGCATCGGATGGTTAATTCCACTTCCATCAGTTTCTACGGTTAACGAAACTTCTTAATTTTTAATTTCATTTTTAATCAACTGGACATTTGTAGTTACCTACTTGTAAACCAGATAGCATGCTATAGAAACTCCATGAGTAACATGATGACTATCACAGCATTTTAAAAGTGAAGCAATAAAATAGTTGATACAGTTGATGACAATGATCGATATATAATAAGGCTAATGTTTGCCTAATAAAACATGAGTTCTTACTTCTTCTGTATATATATTATACGTCATGATAATATATATACGTAATGGATTTTTTCAGTGAAAACATTACATTATATTCAGAAAAAGAAACCAACATTTGATATTTCAAATGTGACTCGAAAAGAAAATTCAGTAAAAAGAATCTATACGAGTATTGCAGCAATTAAGGCCTTGACCAAGCGACTATTTTTTGTGAGCAACGATTGCTGAGGCTACAGATGATTCTAAGAAGTTTCAACTTAGTTATTATTATTATTGAAGGTTTGTCTTTAAAAATTAAACACAGGTCTTTTTAAATTCATAGAAAAGACGATTAATAATAAGATATTTACAATTAGATACTTCAACACACATAATATATATCTCAAAAATCAACTTTACGGATGCTCATTGTCGGCTGGGAATTAAATCTACAAGTCTACCGAAAAACAGTTCGATAAGTTCGGAAGTATACATATTTACTAATTGGCTGTATCTATCTATGTAGTCATTAATTTGGTTCTTTACGTGGACTTTATTTTATTTTAGATGTTTTTGGAAAACTTACAGATAGAACAGTTTAAAGAACATTTTTAACAAAATTAGGGCCAATTAAAAGTTTTCACAATTAGAGTAAAAAGTAAAGTTAAAGCCTATACGTGCCCTTTGCTGGGCAATGCGACCCCACTGCTATTTGGCTTTACATATCTTCGAACCTCTTTCTCCTCCTCCTCCTCCGGTTTCCTCACGATGTTTTCCTTCACCGCGAAGCACGTGATAATTCAGCACTTGAAATTAGCAATTTCATTGGTGTCGACACCGGAGATCGAACTGAGGTTGCTGGAGTAAATTGAATTAAAGGCGAGCGCCCGGACGCTGAGCTATAAAGTATTTGTAATTCAATCAACTGAGCAAAGGAAACGCTTGACCGATCCTCTCAGTGAAGCTTCGGTCTTACCTCAACCATTAGTACTATTCCTATTTGATTTGCAACAATAATTCTAACGTAATTCCGCTAAAATTTTTGCGGTTTAAATAAATGAACTGAGTGTTACTTCGACACTTTTCATAATGCATTTTGTAAATCTAGGTTATTAGATGCAGTAATACTTTGTGCTCTTGACAGGTTCAAAGCTACATAATACCACATCTCGATGTTTTCAAGCGCGACATTGGAATTCTCGAGAGTACGTTCTATACTGGTCGTAGCTTCATTAATTTACTTCACTTTGTCTGATGGTTTTGCTTTCAGTCCGTAGAATGTTAAAGCATCAAACGCAAACTCCATGATCATATCGGCCAACGTCCACTGATGAACATAGGCCTCCCCCATTGACTTCCACTTCGACCGGTCAGTAGCGGCTTGCATCCAACGTGTCCCTGCGATCCTTACTAGGTCGTCCGTCCACCTTGTGGGAGGCCTTCTTATGCTGCGCTTGCCGTCACGTCTCCACTCAAGAACCTTTCTGCCCCAACGGCCATCGGCTCTCCGATGTTCACCGGCCCATGTGCTTCCGTTAATCATAGTTCTTATAGCTTAACAGGCGAGCAAAGCATGATCTCACTTAGCAGCATTAGCGGAACAAACCATTTCAACTATTGCCAACGGACAATCCGACTACAGTTATGAAATGAAATCGGATTTGATATTTAATAGAGAGGTAGGTTATCGAGGCCACATCGGAACGGTAACAAAAAACCGCCAAAAGTCCGCGACGCGCTCCGACCAAGCAAAGTTCACGACTGGCACAATAGACTGTTATTCTTTTTCTCAACAACAAAGGGGAAAAGACTTTTCACCTTTTCATCACCGATGAAAGGCCAGACAATCCGTAAAATAAAACTTTCTTGGAGGCGAATGTGATATCGGGGACGTTTCGATTTCGAAAATAACAATTTTATAGCAAATTTACTTTTATTATGTGCACGCTGCAATCTTCTGGAAAACAATATCAAATAATTTTTAGCGGTATTACCTTGATTCTGCAATTGAGTATCAAATTTATATCATCAGTAGCATTCGATGACGCAAACCCTGAACGGCAACGATTGTCAAGTACCTAAGTGCTTTTAAAAGAAGGTTTCATTTGATACAAGCATAAATGAGGTCCAAAAGTAATTATGCCTTGATCAAATATTTATATTGTAATAAAACCTAATGTAACTGATTTTAAAATGGTTTTTATTGTTCTGTAATATTTTTAATGTATCATTGTGATATCACCTGCATATCACAATCATACATAAAAAATATTATTTATTTAATATTTCTGGATTCAAAAAAGACTTATTAATGCCAAAGTTTCCGAAAATATGGAAAAAAAAATATTTACTGCCTTTCTGAATGTACAATAAATTCCGAAACAGAAATTAACTTACAGATAATCTAAGTTATAAATGTCACACATTTTCTTTAAATCCTATCATCATGCATCACCTTAAAAAATGATAACAAACGAGAATATGACTGCCAGTCATTCCAAAGACAAAATATTTTTAACTTACACATAGTTTGTAAATTTAGACCGGCCCATATAAGAAAAAACAAAACTCTTGGTTCGAATACTCATATGCCCTTTTTTTGGAAACAAAAAGCATGTACAATCAACTTTCAAATTTATAGGCAAATGCAGAGCATGTCCACATTGTCCCTCTATTTATCATAGATCTTCTTAATTGAGTTTGCTTTGACTACTTTTCCAAAAACTTTTTTTTTTCAATTTTACCATTTAAAGAGATATCTATAAAAAGTAAATATCCACGAACCACTATCTAATGAAGCACGCGTAACGATCTTCGGAGCAGTACAAATGACTTGATATTCGGGCGTTTGTAGTAAATGTAATTCATTCTACAACTGGCTGGTACGATTGCAAATGGTCAAATAGGTGAGCGTCTAGTCGACGTACGTTCACATATGTACTTCGGGCATAAGATCTGGTCTTAGTGCCGCCTGATAAGTGAGCCAAGCGTGTTTCTACTATCGGCGGTGACGGCGAATTTTACAAGAAAATAAAAAAAATGGAGCGAGCCGCGTTTTTGTGTCGCGAAAAAAAACCTTCAATAGCAGTTTTTTCCGATGGGCTTTTTGCACATCTGTCCTCTCGAAATAGATTAGGTACACGCAACTTTCGTTGACGAGGCGATGTTTGAATATGCAAAATCGCGCATCTCTCGTGAATAATTAACGCTTAATTAATCAATCAGACGAATAATTTAGAAACGAATTCGTGAACCGTTCGGTACTTTTTAAGTTTTGCTGCTAACCAATCAATTAAACTGCATCGCGGATGGATATTATGAGATTTTTATCATCAGCTTCGAATGTTTCGTAGATTGTTTATTCGACTATCGCGTTGCACAATCTTAATAAGTAAGAGCAACTAACTATTTAGTTGAGATTGAATTTTATTGTTTTTTATATTACGTTCCAAATAGAAATGTAGAGTTTGTGTTTATCTGACCGATATACAAATGGGTTATTTGTGCACGAGTCTTTTACTAACCAGTTTTATAAAAAACTTATTACGACAAGTTTCATTCAAGGACTTTCGAAATATGTAGGTAAGAATTAAAACTTTTTGAACACCAATTTTTGCCTTTTAGGCGTTTTATGTTTTCAAAGTACAAAATGTAATATGGATTTTTTTTTGTATTGTGAAGCTTATATACTTTGAGCTAAGGCGTTATAATTACGTTTTGTATTAAGTTGAAAGATTACTTATACGGATCAAAACTTTAGTGGACTCTACCGTTTCCGCCGCAGTACCTACATCTTGGTGTCGTAGAAAGTTTTACTCACTGAAACTTTTGACAGCACTGAATCGTGAAGCCGACTGGAGGCAGGACCGAGTCGTCCCCGAGTGGACTAGACGATACAATTGCAGTGAAAAATCCGGTCGCAGGCACAGAACGGGACACTGAAAATCGAGTTATCACTTCACGCGCGGAGGTCCCGCCACGGGCCTTGGCCAAACCCGTTCCGGGGGTACCGAATTACCGGTTTTAGGAAAGGTCACTAGCGGCGCGGCACTCGCGGCTCCACTTCGACGGCGCTCGGGTCGAGAGGAAAGTCCCACGAGAGTTTCGTGTGTTGAACTTTTTTCGCGATCGTTGCGACGGGCGCGGCGCGGCGGCACAGCACGTCTGTCGCCGGCGGTCGCGTGAAGCGGACTGGCGCTAACTCCGCCGGGCGGTAGGTGTGCGAGCGAAGCCTCCGCGTCGGCACACGCGCGCCTGTGTGCGTCCGCGCGCGTTTGTGTGCGTCGACGAACTTGCGAATTGCTGTACCAAAGCGCCGCAGTAGCGCGACGCGAAGAGTCGCCCGGTTTCCATTTCTCCTCCATTTGACGCGCGCGAAACACCTTTCTCTACATTACTGGTAGTCTAAGTTGAAACGAGGCTTGAAGTCGTCGATAGGCGGACGGCCGAAGCGATCAGCCAAGGTATCAGGTTCTTAAGCTTTGCTCATTTATTGCTATGCGTCCAGAGTCGGGTGCATAGTTTTACAAAATTAGTTTTTGCCCGCACCGTCTGGAGCCCTAAGGGGTCTTGAAGGCGCAGTAATGAGTTCGGTGAACTGTTTAAGGTTCGCATGGTCCTCGTCGAAATGACTAAATTTCATTTTTCGAACAGCGGGTGGCCGACGGGAAAACATGTCACCGGCTATGCGTCGGTGCGTGCCGCTTTATTTCATAACAGCTCTAATCCAGCCTGATATTGAATAAAGCTTAAGCCCTAATAACCCACTTAGGGGAGCGAGCTTTACCGCCGTTCGGCAAATAAAACGGATGTGGCGACGTCGGGTACAGTAAGATATCTCTTATATGGTCACACATTAATTCAGTGCTAAGTTATAGCGCTTTGAGGTTACATTTGTCTTTTTTCACACTAAAAAAAATTTGAAAATGACGTTTATCTTCTTATTACTTATGTGTATACAGGAAAACAGGCAGGACATTGCTGCCCTAACATGATAGACGGGGATTTATTAAAATACAGCTCATATGTTTTAGATTTTTTTTTTACTTTAACGGTGGTAGGGCCACGCAGCAGCCTCGGCTGTTGCACGAATGGGCAGGCCCGTCCGGGTAAGTACCACGACCTCAAGAAGACCAGCGTAAAGTGGAAGTATGACAAATACTTCCGCGTTTCGTCTGGTGAGTGAGGTAGCCGGAGCCCAATTTTCAAAAAGGTTGTCAACACATCTGAAACCCTAGGGTGTGGCAGATGTCCATGGGCGGCCGTATTCACTTAACATCAGGTGAACCGTCTGCTCGTTTGACAACTTTTCGCATTAAAAAGATAGTCTATTTTCAGAATACAAGCTACTAATTTACTTAATTTACATAAACTGACAGCGCTGTCGCCGTTCAATAAAAGATCTCTACATTCAAACTCATCTCTCTCGTAAGTGCCATGAGCTCTTATTCTTATTTTGTTAGAAATGTTTTTTTGCAAATCAGCATGAGTTCTGGAAAATCGTATTGCAGCACCAGGGTTTTGTACAATCGCGAAGCGTTCACGTCCACGAAAACATTTGCCAATTGCGATCAAACGGCTACGTGAAATTTCGGCTTTCTCGCTAAAAAGGGGTAAAAAATTCCACGCGTCCGTTATCGCCGACGTAAACACGATGTGTCGTACTGTTAAATGTACACGTTTGTTGGAATTTTGGGGGCAACGTTCGTAAAAAAACGCTAAATACGTGATCCGCAGAACTCTACCTATTCAGAAGCGGATAACTGATGATGACCGGCACCAGATAACTGATATACATGCTTAAACAGACTTTTATTTTGTAAATAAATGCATATGACACTGGAAAAACACTATATTCATCACAGAATATTTTCCCAGCAGTGGGGACTACGCCAATCACTACGCCGCCTTTGTCAACATTTTAGAGGTTTGTAATGGTTGTTTATTAACTACCGAAAGTTATTATTCAGACCCAAATTAAGACCTTTTCAATCTTTTTCTTTTTATCATGACGTTTTACCGCCGCACAACGTTACTCAATAGTTATCGTATATGATTTTTGACATCCAATTCATTATCCTTCAATATCATTTCCACACTACAAGATAAAGAACCAACAGTAAAACTAAATTGCCTTATTGACTATGGATATATTTTTTCTACAAAATAATTACTTTTTACAATAGAAACGGGAAAATGTGCTTAAAGTGTATTAAGTTTCCCTGATGTTAAGGGAATAATAGAGCCCATTTTTTATGTGATAAAGCGGCAAGCGAGCTGGTGGTTCACCTGATGTTAAGTGATAACCGTTGCCTGCGGATAATTGCAACACACGAAGGGTTGCAGACGCGTTGCCACCTTGTGATAAAGTGGGCCCCGGCCAACTCACTCACCAGACTAAGTAAACAAATTGGAATTTGTGTGCTTAGTCTGGTGTTAGTCTTCACGCAGGACTTCTGAGCGTCCGGACGGACCTGCCCATTCGTGCAACAGCGAAGACTGTTGCTTGGCCCTACCACAGTGTGAAGAGGAGGCCCCGGTTACCTCACTCACAAGATTAAACGTAAAAGTATAAGCACTTCTCTGTTCTCTCATCACTTAAGAGGCTCTACTCCCCGGGACGAGCTGGCCCATTCAGGTAATAGTGTTTAGGTCTACGCCCGACACTTCAATAAAAGGCTAGCCTAAACAAACAGCCACGTTACCACTTCCATGAAGCCAGAGATCGCAGAATCTTGTCTTCTCTGCGTGTGGCGATAAAGCATTTCTCTTTAATTCGAGCGATAACAAAAATAAAACGCCGCGAGTGCGTAAATCGAGCTCTTTGATAAAAAACAGTGGTCATTGCATGTTTACCGTTTTTGTTCCCACGTTACAATTGCGTCACGTAACACTGCAGCGGCTACCGAGAGTTGATCCTTATATAATTACTATAAATATTGTAATATTTTATAAACTTAACGGGCTAAGGAGGCTCGTAGGTAAGGGTGTCAGAATATGATAGTGTACTGTTTTCAAAATATTTTTGTTTTTAAAAATATTTAGGACTCATTTTTACACAACGTTCTCTAGTCTTAAACTATGCAACGCTTGTACTGAGTACTTGATAAATGTTAAACAAACTTAGACAAAATTTTCTTTTGTAAATAAATACATATTATATATATATAAACACAAAGACACTAGAAAAACACAATGTTCATCACGCAATATTTTCCAGTAGTGGGGATCGAACCCACACCCTCCGGCGCAGGAAGCAGGTACACTACCCACTACGCCATTCGGGTCGTTAATGGGTTTCCAGGGACCGAATACCGTGAATGAGTTAGTTTCCAATGACCGATTGTTCTTGCATTGTTGCACGCAGCACACCCTTACAATTATAGAAGCTATATTGCAGTTCAAGGTCCTTTTTTAATATCTATATGCCGATACGAATTAAAAAGAGTGTGATATTTATTTCTAAATATATGGTATATATTTTCCAAATATATACCATATATTTAGAAGACCCATTAAGGACCCGAATGGCAATATTTGGAAAATATATACCATATATTTAGAAAACAATTATAACACATTTGCGTCACACATAGTCGGAAAGATAGAGTACCTCGGAAAGTGGATACCGTATGGACTCGCTGGAAAACAACAATTTCTAGGCTTCTTTATTATTTTATGATAGAAATGTTCTAGAAACATATGATTTACCTTACCTATGTAATTTCCGGTTCTGGACATCGGCCTGCGACTGCTACGTTTCGTTTTACATTCGAATCTAAATTCAAAGATGTCTGTATGTTATAATTATGATATTTCCTTAAAAAAATCAGTAGCTCATTTTATTTTCGAAGTATTTTGTAACACAAATGTATCACAGAATTCAATTTCACAATAACGTGGATGAACTAAGTATCTAAAGCGAAGGCATGGTACTTTTTAGCTCGATCGTTTCCGTTCTGTAAATGATGATCTCGAAAATTAGTGCCGTCGCCGACGAGAAGCGAGGGTCGATAACGAACAATTGCAAATCCTGGTGTCATCTGGAACCTGCTGAGCTGCACAGAAGAAGAAAATTCTGCAAGGTTTTAAGTGATGGTTGAAAACAAATGTTATTATTTATCACAAGAAAAAGAAAAGGAAAGAAAGAAAGAAATTTATTTACCAGAAAAAGACGCACAAATTTAAGAAATAAAAATTTTGTTAATACCTACATACTTCAGTGAAACAAAACAAAATCAACAGAAATATAAAAAAATAAAATAAAACGAACGAAAAATAAAAAAAATTAAACATAAAATAAAAAAAATGTGTTATCGGTAAATTAGTAGATTAGTCACGTACTTTCAGAGAACATTACAAATCGATCAACTGCGAAGAACCCACTTTGAGACCAAAGTAAATTAATTTTTGCTATAAATATTCATTCGCCGAGTATATTGCACTTCTTTTGCTCAACATAAAAATATAAAAAAATTGCGTGGTAGTATGTTTTGCATAAAACACTAATTTTTACTGAGTTATGTACATTCATTACATAGATAGGTTCACACGTTTCTAAACCGTTGTCATAAGAAGATTGCTTAAGCAGAGCCTGAAACATTTTTAGTATTTCCCAATGATTTTAACATAAGCATTCTTAAATAGTAAGAATTAAAAAAAATTACGTAGGTACACAATAGAATACAATAATTTATATACGAAAACAATAGAACAAACTAAAATCCTAATAATAAACTTTAAGAACTAGTTATTACTATAACAATTTAATGTACAAATGTACAATTTATTGTACAATACGCGATTACAATGTTCATGAACCACGAACGCGGTAAAGGGTTCGAAACGTCGGTAAATAAAACTAAAAATAAACCCGATAAATCCGCAAACATTGTTTCAATTAGTAACTTTTATTATAAAATAATGAACGATATCGACACACATATCGCTGTTGCGCAAAAAGGCCGCGCCGGGGAACTACCACGGCCTCGCGGCTAGCCACACAGCTTGTTTCCCTCGCTTGTTGCGAATTTTGGATGTCAACAATGACTAGGCAGCAGGCGATCAAATTCGAGGTCAAAATCAAAATTTCTTTATCTTTATATTGAATATAGGCTTTAAGCTGTTATAGAACATCAAAAAACCTACCAAGTGCGAGCCAGATTAGCGCACGAAGGGTTCCGTAGTATTTGTTGTTATAGCGTCAGCAAAAATACATTATCTGAGAAAATTTCAACTAACTATCACGATTCATGGGACAGCCTAGTGACAGACAGATGGACAGCGGAGTCTTAGTAATAGGGTCCCGTTTTATTAACCTTTGTTTACGAAGCCCTAAAAACTATCGATGATCAACTTATATACG